GTGTAGTTTTGATTTTTGTATATAATGCTGGTATTTTAATATAGGAGTGTGTTTGTATGTAGTGTTGGTATTTGAATGTAGGTGTGTATTTGTGTGTAGGTTTGCTGTTTGTCTGTAGTGTTGCCATTTTATTACAGCAGTGTGTTTTCATGTAGTGTTGGCATTTGATAGTAGAAGTATGTTTGTATGTAGTTTTGATGTTTGAGTGCTGTGAAGTGTGCATATATGCAAGCGTATACCTACACTGGCACACACACAGATACAAACATATACATACACAGGCACAAACACACTGGCACACATACAAACATATACCTACAGACAGACACACACATACACATTCCTACATACACACTGGCACACAGATACACATACATACCTACAGAAAACACATTGGCACACACATATACACACACACCGACTCACACTGGCATACATTGACACTCACAGATCCACAAAAACAGTATACCCTGCACTCAGGTTCCGCATATATGCTCCAGCCTTCCACCAAGGGGCGCTCTGTGTATCCCCGATTATCCAGAGAGATAAATATTTATCCTCCTATTCCTATCTCTTATTCCTAGAGAACTCTCAAATTAGTCATTGATGCTTTGCCAGCTTCATAGATATTCCTAGGTGCTAGTCCTATCTGTTATATTTGACATGACATCTGACTTCTTTCATATTATGGAATAGTCACTGTAGAGGAATATATTATGGTACTATATATATATATATATATATATATATATATATATATATATATAAACTTACTGTACCTTTAAGATCTGGATCATACATTTAAATAGACTTCATTTGTATACTTTCTAATCTAATATCTAATTTTTTTTTGCCTGCTATGTGGATTTAAAATGTGCTAGTTTACCTTGCTGCATTAGATATGATATCTGATTTTTTCATGTTATGTAATATTTACCATAGATGAGTGCATTACCATGTTACTAAATAATAGGCTACTGTATCCTTAAGAGTCTATTTATTCGAATAGACTTCACTTAGATAGTACTTTCTAATTAATTATTGTAATTTTGCCTTGCATGGGTTTATATATGCCGTTTGATTCTCTGAACTGGACAGGACATTTGACTTTTTCATGCTATGGAATATTAACTAGAGATGAATGTATTACTGTGTGATTGTATAATATGTTAGTGCATCTTTAAATCCTGATCCTATACTTGAGTAGACTCCATGTCTTGTTTTTAGATGTCACTTATACATATGTTTTAACATGTGATTGTAATCTTTCATTAACTTAACTGGTTTGGGGGTTATTTAAACACTGCTGTTATGCTGTATCCCTCATGCATGAGCCGAAATGTTGCACTTATTGTGGTGAGGTGGTGAACCCACGAATAGAATTACCTTCTATATCCTGGAGTGTTGCCTGTGTTTCTCTTCTTTGATACTCATAGATCCACACACACATACCTACATGCAAACACACTGACACAGATACACACTGGCGCGCACGCACATACCTACACATATACTGACACTCACAGATCCTTCTGGCACTATAACTTCAATGAGCTAAAGTGGTCTCGGTGCCTATAGCGTCCCTTTAACCCATTTTTGGAGGATATTTATGTGACAATTTTTTTCTCATTCATTCAGCCCCATATTGGTAAATTTGAGATAAAATACTCACATTTGACCTTATATTTTAATTCAGATATTTGCCAAATGCAACTAAATTTGGAGATTTTCTCTAAGTGGCAATTAGGTGTAGTTCCTAAAACATTAACATAATGTCCGGTGCACAAAAAAATCTATAGCCTGACAGGTTTTTTTCAAAATAGAAAAAAGTAAATAGCAGGCCATGTGAAAGGATTTTTAGCTACACAGGCAAAAATACATTTTGATAAACCCTTTGAGTAACTGACTTCCTATTCCTCTACCTTCCCTTCTACATTTGATAAATTATATAATAGATCCAAGCGTGGAGATAAGTTTATTTTTTGAAAAAATAAATGCAGTCTTAAATCCAGTGAAATATATTATTCCAAAATGTAACTTACAAAAGAGACTTCTATGCAGATCGTCCCGGGCTCAACCTAACGCTTTGCAAGCAAATGCTTGTACGTAATCATATGTACTGGCCTGTACTCCAACTTAATTTTTTATTTTTAAAGATTCAGGACTGCATGAAGGTTTTTTATTTTATAGAATTTACATTTAAGTATAAAAAATGTTTTAACTGGATTTGAAGCCATGCTTATTCTTTGAAAGAAGAAATTTATCTCCATGCTCGAATCTACTATATTATGTATCGTCTTTAACCAAAGATAATGCCATTTGGAACCATATGAGAAGGCGCTCAGCAGGCAACACTGTGTTTATAAAGGGAAGTCTGGCTATACTGTGCTCTGTTTTTCCCCTCCTGCTCCGTCTCAGCACTTGAACTCCACATAACTGGTCATGGGGTGTGTGGGGGGGGGAGAAATGTAGGGTAACGATGCAGCAGCTACCGGTGTCTCTCAATATTGCCGGCAGTTTCTCCGGGTGCTCAGGCTGGTCAGGATAGGAAAGCATGGAGTGCAAGAAGTTCAGCCAAGCTACAGTAAATCCCATTGGAAGCCAGGGGGATAGAGAGGTAGATAACAGACTTGGGGTCGTCTTGTCTGCATCAACTGGTCAAACAATCTAGAGAAGACCATCAGTTTCATTGACAGGAAGGGGGCACTCACTGCTGCAGCAAGCTGAAGTGCTTTATCTGATTAGAGTGTTTCAAAGGTACATGAGAGGATATGGTTGAAGCAAATTATGGGACAATGATCAACCTAAAACAACTTTTGACCCACTGAGCCCGCTACCATGTTTATTTCTTTAGGAGTATCTACACTAAAAATGCTCAACTCTGTCTAGGGGCATGGACATTATATTTTTCAGCATATAGACTTTTAGTATATCTTCCTTTAAAAGTATAAAAATTTTCTTTAAATAAAAACTAATTTGTGTACAAATACAATCACTGACAAACACTCATTTACTCAATGGCGACCACCCCCCCACACTCTCAAACAGCAACCCATACAAATTCACTTACCCGGGCAGCCTGACAAACACATACCCACTGACTCAGACAAATTCACTGAAACACATGACGAGGTACTATTTACCATCATTTCACATATCAGCTAAATGTTTTGTGCTGCAGGCACATTGACTATGGCCGACGACAGCCCATCACTCTCCCCATTTAAGCCCCCACCCACATGACAAGGCAGGAGTAGGTGAATGATGAACCAGTGCGCTGTTGCCATTACTGTCTGGGAGGAGAGCTTGGTTCTAAGTAAATTACTTTGCATGCCAAGTGGTAGTTATCAGCCACATAATTGCTACCTGGTACTCCATGCTGTGGTGGCCTGCAGACATGCTTTACCTGTCTAGTCCCACTTCATAGAGGGATTGCTCAAATTAACATTAAAATTGCATGGACGATAGGTTTCAACTTCAGCAATCTGAATTTTTCCAGGCAAGGTAGTTCCTCCCCTTTGTGCAAGTCTTTATGAGAAGTCACCCAGAAGGGGAATCTACATGTTATAAAACTAATTGCAGGAAAAAACTTGACTGCTCTCCATGTTTTAGCTTTAGATGAGAACACAACCTAGTTGAAAAGCTATGAGAGAATGATTGGTTTAATAGCTTCATTAATATGAAGCAAATTGCTCTATCAACACAGATTAAAGAAATTTGCTATACACTGCTAGCATGTTAGTTCATCCAACCGAGCAGGACTTGTTTTGGGGTCTGTATGTGCATGGCTGGTGGTCCTACCCCAAATGTAAGCCATTTGCCAGATTATTAAAGTGCCTTACCATGACTGAATCCCCAGGTGGATCTCCTATATCAAGATTACAGGAACCTTACTCTCACCTGTGAAGTATGTAAGCTTATTTTACGAGTATGTGCAGCTTTGTTTCTCCAAAACTCTGATGAATTGACCCTCAGACCCAAGTGAGGATTTTGAATATTAAAAAGTGATACCATCTATCCACAAAACTATGGATGGTATCAATTTTTCAATTTCCAGCCAAATGTGGAAGCCCTGCAGAGGATTTAGACACATGAACTGAAATAGCAGCATTAATGTCAGATAAATACAATGTTATGCACTTTTGGGTAAAGAATGCACAAGCAACTTACACCCTTAACTCTAGTGAATTAGGGATAACACATGAGACTGATTGTCAGCCGTTACCAAGATCAGTAAGGTATTGTTACGCATTAAATAAAAAAAGTCAGGAGGGCTACAAAATTAAAAAGAATAACATTTTAGCTATGAAGAAAAGGATAGCACATTTATGTTTAAATTAGAAAAAGGTCTCCTTAGAGAGGATATAAAATCGTGTCATACAAAATATAGTCAGGAGCCAATACAAACTATTACAAGAAAACTAGATTCTGAAAAAGGAAATGTGCAATTAGAGGGACAGAGCCCACTTTAACAGCTCCTAAAGCTTTAAAGTGTCAATATAGGCACCCAGAACACTTCAACTCATTGATGTTGCCTGGGCACTGTGTCCTTGTGTCTTCCTGCCCTCCCCCAGGTTACTATAAATGTATGGTATTCCTAACACTATAGAAGCCCTTTGTCATAGAAAGGCTCTTTATCAACATAACTCCTAAATCAAAAATATTTAACGTGAACCTGTTAGGGTTCAATTTGGAAACAGTTTGCAAAACTTCCCTTAAAAGCCAGCAATTCAAACTTTGCCATGGTAGCATTCATTTTGTACAGGTATGTTGATTAAATAAAACCTAAAGAGGGAAGGCAATATTGTGGATATTAAAAAGTCAACTGCACAAGACCAGTGCTTATATGGAGGCACAGAACATCTTGATTTGGATCTAGTAAATATTTGTAATGTAATCAGAAGAGACTAGACAGGTGTCCACAGAATTCATGTCATTGCTCCAAGGCTCTTGGCTGACCTGGTCAATTGGCCTTACACACTTAGAACAAAAACACAAACTTGGAACTGCAATTTAATATTTAGAAGTGTAAACTTTTAATGTAACAGACTAAATTTTAGAGACATTGAGAAAATGTGCGTTCAGGACCAGCAACATGAGTATCCTTGTGTCTTGACTCTCGAATGGAATGTAACAAGTGCAGTTGAAGAGCTGGATTCAATCCCTCTTTTTATAAGCCTCCATGTTGGAGAGAACCCATCCGGATGGAGCCAGGAAGCATACAACGAATGTTGTAAATCCAATCATGGACTCCTGAGGGAGGAGATAGATGGAAAAATATATTACCTTGATCTACTAAAAATGTGAGACTGAAATCAAATGCATTATAGATCAATTAAGTGGATTTTAAATGGGAAATTTCAAAAGTATTTATTAACCACATGCTGGAAAGGGCTGTCTAATGTAATTTGTGAACATGAAGTCTACAGTAGAATTTCTCTTTTCAGATCCAGTTCTTAAAGGACCACTATAGTGCCAGGAAAACACTCGTTTTCCTGGCACTATAGTGCCCTGAGGGTGCCCCCACCCGGCTCTGGAAGGGGGAAAGGGGTAAAAACTTACCTTTTTCCAGCGCTGGGCAGAGAGCTCTCCTCCTCTCCGCCTCCGTTACGCCCCGCCGGCTGAATGCGCATGCGCGGCAAGAGCTGCGCGCGCATTCAGCCAGTCTCATAGGAAAGCATTTACAATGCTTTCCTATGGACGCTGGCGTGCTCTCACTGTGATTTTCACAGTGAGAAGCACGCAAGCGCCTCTAGTGGCTGTCAATGAGAGCCACTAGAGGATTAGGGGGAAGGCTTAACCCATTCATAATTATAGCAGTTTCTCTGAAACTGCTATAATTATGAAAAAATGGGTTAACCCTAGAAGGACCTGGCACCCAGACCACTTCATTAAGCTGAAGTGGTCTGGGTGCCTAGAGTGGTCCTTTAACACTAGCATGGTTATTGATCAAAATGTCATATGCTAGAAAGTCAGAATATTACAAATGTAAGGCAGAAATAGCCAGATTGTCAAGATTCAAGTCAACTTTATTTTTGCTTTATGTTTGGATTTCACACTACTGAATAAGCCTAGATTCATTAAAGTTGTGCTTTAAAGGAACACTATAGAATTAGTAATACAAACATGTATCCTTGATGCTAGTGTGAAAAAAAAAAAAAAAAAGGAAAGTTTAGGTGGCACCCTCCTTTAAAAGCTGCAAAATTCACCTCTATTCCAGCACTGCACAAGTCTGACAGTGCTGACTTTGCCTCCTTTGGTTGAGATCAGAAGTTACAGTTCACATCTCAAACAATTCAGTGCTTTCCCATTGAATCAATGCATCTGCTGGGAAGTTTCGTATATGTCTGACTGCCACTGAAGGTCCCTGGGCAGCAATGTAAACACTGCCTTTTCTCTGAAAAAAAGAGTGTTTACATGAAAGTGTCTGCAGGGTCATACTATACTCACCATAACATTAAACTGTAGTTATGGTGACTAGTGTCCCTTTAACCTGTGATCTACTAAAATACACTTTCTAGATCAACCCAAAGTGAAAACATGCCCTGCTCATTTAGGGTTATATGCAAAAACAGCTTGCAAAAGCATCTTGTGTCTGCTACCTTTGCAAGTCCCTCTCCCCCAAACTCAGCCCAGATGTTCTGTGGCTGTCCAATCAGACTTTCCAATGCAGCTCAAAGTCTGAGAAGTCTTTGCATGACAGGTGCTCTGTAACTGCTGCCTCTTGAGTTAAGCTCTACTGAGCTTAACAACTAAGGACTACATATAAAGCCCTTCAGCAAACTAAACTGCATTAGATGTGGAGTGTTCCTTTAATATGAAGTAAAAAAAATCCACGTTTTCACATACTGAAAAATTCCTTTATATGACTGTCCTCGGAAGTCATAAAGAGGTTAAATCTAATTCATAACGTCAGCCATGTGTGGGATTACAGTTTGTTGGCTCTGTAGTAGAGATCAAATAAAATGTCTGAATGAAAACGCTGTCTAAGCAAGGCTGCCAACTCAACTGTTGGTAGCCAGTGAAACATTCCTTCATGCAAGCCTACCTTCTAGCATTCAGAAATAAATATGCGTGATCTCTGCCAGGCTAGATACTCACGCATAGCACGAGGATGTTGTGTTTATAGATGTTTTCATATTAAGCTCTTCTACTGCATGCCCTTTCCCCTATCTGGATCAGTGTAACCACACATATTTTATTTTTAAATTTACGTGACAGGTGAACACATTGCACTCTGATGGATAGTAAATTCCAGGTTATATGAACACTGCCTACTGCAACATTAGTGCCAGTATTATGGATGCAATAGCGTTGAGTAAATCAGGTCTTGACAAATTTGCTTTGAATCTAGGAGCCAGGATTTTTTTGAACAAAGCTTTATTTTCAATGATAAAAATACAATTCTTAAAAAGGAGACAC